ATACAGAAACCTCACATCCAAACTACGAAACTTTGTAAGCTGATTGTCAAGGTCAGCGAGTGAATCATTTCCAGTAGGCTATTTCATGACATTGCGCGAAAAGCTAGTAAGTTCACCTAGCTAATCCCACCCATAACCGTTATCCCCGGGTGTGCACTCGTTACGAACGGTATCCACAAAATCAGCTAGTACTGCTCTAAGGAGAGGAAGTAGTACCACCAAATCAGGATCCACACTGACAATGTAACACAAGGCTACAATCGAGTAGGTGGATAGCCTTTGAGTTACTGATGTCGAAAGTTGCCAAAGGAATTATTTGTGCTTACCTGGACACCAAAATGAAAGATATATACTCAAAGGTGAAATTTCCCTGATCAGTGATATTTTTGAAGAACTACTTGCCATTCTTACTGAATATGGTTGCTATAGAACTAAATGATTACTTTTTCATAAAGAAAACTACTCACAAGGTTACTGAAAACTCTTCGACAGCACACGACCGGGTTCGCTCTTCTTGGGGCACATCAGGTAGGCGCAGTCCCCGAGTTTCCGTCAACCTTATGTTTTACATGAACCTGATGAGCCCCAAGAAGGGCGAAACTGGTCGTGGGCTGTCGAAGAGTTTTCAGCAACCTTGTGAGTAGTTTCCTTTATGAAAAATACACTGCGATATCTCGAATGTCGTGCCAACTGAATCATGAGGCGGCCTGTGTGAAGCACATTCAGCTGTAGTTTCCATGAAGGAAAATACTCACAAGGTTGCTGAATATGGTTGCTATAGAACTAAATGGTTACCTCTTCTTTTCTCCCACAAAACGGACAAATACCGCGCATGGCCACAAAACGACTCGGTCGACGATATTTCATCGGATCTGAGACCCAGCTCTATCTAGGAAGCTCTCCCAGCATCCGAAGAAGAAAGATAAGGAAGGCCTCCTGGGAAACCAGTTTGGATAACTGGCGGGAATTCAAGGAGACATAAGATTCCTTTATGTGAAGCCTTGAACAAAATAATGAGACTAGGTGCCATCTGGACAGTCCAGGTGGCTAGGCTCGTTATCGGCCTAGCATGTGAAAAGAAAATGTGGGAATCCACAGTAGCCGAAGTCACAGTAAATGATATTTTATGACTTGGAATGTCACTCCTGTGGTGGGTAATCGCCATCTGATTACAATGAGCAAAATGTCGACGCAAGCTTTCAACATCTGGACGAATAACGGTCGGCTGTTTCTGTTTTTGGTAAGGGGAGGTTGGATACAGCCTTTCATCGCCTACAATGCCTAACCAACAGGAACATGGGTACAAAATACTTCCATTTGCACACGAATTTGGTTTTGATTGGAGACTCAACCGAATCTGGCTGAATGGCTCCTTTTGGACCGAGGGTGCCGTATCATATTGCTCCATATTTCAATCGATGTGATATTCGAAATATCCCACCTCATTGTCCAGGTGTAACACACTACTCATAATGGTGTTGGAAACTATTGGACAGTTCGTGATTGGGTTCACTCTTCTTGGAGCTCATAAAGTAGGCGAATTCTGTCCAGTTTTGGATCAACTAGAGTATAAGTTTGGCGAAAACTCGAGAATGGAGCCTACTTGATGAGCCCCCAGATGGGACAGGCTTGTCACGGAGGTGCTCACTCGCAGATTTCCGCCAGACACATTCGGCTACAAGTGACTGATCCGCAAGGTGATTATCTCTATTTTGGACAGGACATAGCGCCAGTTATCCTTCAATACCGAAAACCACGTCAAGTGGCCTAGCATTGATCGGTTTCTTGAATGACAACTGCTCAGATGAGAATTTCAGTGAAATTATTGTTCCGAGCTACGTGAGGAGATTTGATAGTTTTCGGAATGATAATTGGTCCAGTGATTGAAGCTGATCTATGCGACAAAGCGCTTCGGCATATGTGATTTCATGAGATATTAACCAATCGTTGACTTTCTTTGGCAGTTGCTTCTAACATACAATTAGGTTAGTGGTGGACTGGTCCAGTAACTGTGAGATTTATGCGAAGAGTTTAGCAGCCGAGGTCAGACAGCACACACACTATTTGAGATACTCATATGGCTACTGTGTACATAGGGATTCCAGCGATTTATTGAGTAAAGTAATGGGAATATCATCCCTTATAATTTTAGTGGGGGGAGCTGTCAATTCAGGCCGATACTACGGGCGCAGTATTTTCTTAGGCGGGAAGCCTACGTGCGTAAAACAGTGAGTTCCAAGGTCATATTTCTTCATTCATCGACAACCATAAGTATATGCCATAAACAGTAGATGACCAATCAACGGTTAGAAACAGTTTGGTGGTGACCCCCGCATTGTCAGCACTTGAACACGGCAAATTACTAGCTTTTCCACCACTGTTCCATCTTCAGCAATGCCATGTTCCCAGAAATCGATATAAAAGACTTCCATCTCCCCAAAGAAATCCGTTCATTAATTCAAAACCATGGAAGTTCAACAAGTCACAGACAGCATTGTTTGCAAATTTCATTGGATGTTCATATACGCACACTCCTGATTGGTCGGCTCTCTGATTGGCACTGAGGTGAAAGGGGCCGATCGATATCTGTTCAAAGGCACGGCCTGTTGCACGATGAATGGCAATAGAAGCCTGCAGTAAAAATTGCCGTAACTTGATTAGGAAGCGGTTTCTGAAATCCGTATTTCCATTGACTGCCCATGTTATCACGTCGTACAGTGCTGGTCTCACCTTAGGTCATATGTGGTTCTGTAACCGCGCACATGGACCACAGTTTGATAGTCACCATACTGTCTGTCTCAGGTTTTCGCTGCTAGGTGTCAGGCTGAATTTGAAAAAAGTAACGTCAAATCACATTATTATTCTTCATAATGTGGAAAAAAGTTTTCTTTTCACATCTTTGTACCCGACCACTCACTGCTAGCTACCAGCGTAACGGTGATACTACTGATGGGTGAGGCATGCGAGTAGTATGTTTTCCTGTAAAGTCGCTTTGCGTCTCTTGAGAAGTGAGATTTATTGCAGAATTTGTGGAGTCGCTTTGTAGCATTTGCTTGAATTTGAGAAACAGTCAATGAATATACAGGAAAGTTCAGGAAGACGCGTTCAAAAGAAGATGGATATTCAGTTTTCGTAAATAAGATGCAAATGAGAGTTTTGCTTCCCTGTCCAATAGTCTGTAATTGGTCAGTTGGCATTTTCTAATGAATACCTTCACTACGAAGGCCGTCTTCTTTTCACCAGCTCACCAAAGCTCCGTGGGCCCTGAGCGATTACCCACCATGCGTGTCCTGTCACGGTGAATCGTTCAGCATCAAGGACCAAACGTAAGTGGAATTCAGTCGAATATCAATAGTGGATATCAATACAGTGATCATTTTCTAGATCAACATGTATGTTCGCAAGCTCGTTGGAAAAGAGTTCCATAGATCCGCTACTAGTCGAAAGAACGATCGTCCAATCAGCGAAAATTCTTCTATTAGGTTCGCTCTCTTTATGAATGAGAGTAAACGGATGTTAGTGGTCGTATCTGCTGAAATTCTTCCCCGTTTGATTTGAGGTCCACGATTGAACACAGTCCGACCAAAGTTAGACGGTCATACAAATATGGAGTAGATGTGGCAGTAAAGACCAATGAAACCTGACACTGTTTTTTACGTACAACAAACTGTTCCGCACCCTGAAGTTTTTGAAATAATACTGATATAAATCGGACCACACTGCATCCTATTTTACACTAAATAACCATATAGGTCCTACTGTGAATGGTCTGGGTCAGTCGTCCATGCAGTATAATCACTAAACCGCCCACGCATTTACCCCTTCCTACCTTATTTGGCAGTGATAATCAATAGGTAGTGCATATTGTGAGTCTCGGAACTGTCTTCAGCCTTTTTCTTTCGGTCTCATTTCCTCCAATTTAAGCGGGCTAATGTGGGCTCATGCTGATGCTCAAAATGCCACATGGTAGTAATGACTCTGCTTAGGATTTTATTTGCCTCGCTCTGCAGACAGTCTCGAAATGGCTATCAGCTTCCTAATGCCTTGCGTATCAGAAATGTTGTCCTGTAATCAATTACTAGTGTTGTGAACGTTGGGGACGTTACCGGCTTCATGTCGTCTAAACTTTTCCCCGCATTTTCCCAAAAATTTGTTTTTTTTTGAGCTCTCAAAAGAGCCTAATCACGGGTACACCATTCAATTGATTGGCCAGGCTAAATGGCTCACAGACTGACTTCGGGAACTGGTGTTGTACGGACATGAAAACCTAACAATTAGACTGACGTTAGTTATGATAAGCTGCGGTTGGAACCCTGAGTACTATTGCTGATTTGCCAGTTGTTCAGGTACTCATAATCACTATGGAAATTTCCGAACCAGCCAACTTGCCGAACAATTAAACACGGTGCGCACGGACGTCCCACGCTACCTAAACACGCCACAGCTCGTAACTATAAAAGACAATTCACATACTTCTTGAAGAAATTCAGTATGATAAAACTGATAAGGACAGGTTGCTTTACTGATTGACAAAGTGGCCTAGTTTCATATTAGAAGCCCAATAAGGTTGGAAAGTCTGAAGTCAGAAACACGGTTCTGCATGGTTCTTGACTTCAACCCTGCTTTTTGCTATCGAAAAGATGCCCTCAGCACCTGGAGTGACTGGTGGAATTGATCCACATGTTTCAACTTGTTTCTACGGTTTCTGCATCATACTACCTCTCCCATAGTCTTCTAGAACTGTCTTGTACATACCATTGAGTTCAAAATAGCAAAATTTACATCAGTATTGAAACACTGTGTGCCCCCTACTGGTGAGACTCACTTTGGACAGTGAAATGTGGATGGATAGACTTTATCAAAAAACACACCAAAAGCGACAACTCTACTCTGTAATTATGGTGAATGCAATGAACAAACCAGTTATTTACTGAGAACCTGTGAAAAAAATAGGCTTTCTGCATATTCATTTGTTTGACGAAGAAAGTACAACTTTTCAAATGACTCGTTCATTTGTTTGGGTTGATTTCAATCTCGAAAATGGAACTGAGCTCAGAGGTGCTCTACTTCAGATATAGAGCCGGGCTTACATGCAATGTCGTTCAGCTGTAGCACCCTTTCGGTGCCTAACTGCCATGCTACCCTAAGGAAGCACGAGTGCTGGGATACTGCCAGGTTGCCTAAGCCTAGACAGGGAAAGTCGACAGGCAGAGGTTGGGTTCGAGCCAAGGGCCTTCCGGTCAGTAAATTCGCAACCCAACCCGTGAGTCATCTCGCCCCCACATGCATTGATTCAGAAGTCTTATCGCTATGCTCGCTTCACTAGGAGTTGCCTAGGCCATGTCGTATCTATCCTTCTACTCTGCATCAACAGCGATATTTGGTTATCACTACGAGCTACGACGTTCTGAGACCATATCTTCAAAGAAGGACACACAGAGCTCAGAGTCACTTCAGGGTAAGTGAGCCCTTCTATACCGTTGGTGACGGTCAAAACTTTTTCATGGAACGGAACAATCCCATCCTGTCGACAAGAATCGAAACGTTGAAAACAAGACTGATCGCCTAGATTTTATTTGTTCCAATTTCCAATCATCCCCACATTGGGCGATCAGTCACACCAACCTGACTACTGACCCAAAAACTGAGTTGTTTTTTTTGCTGACCTCTAAACATACTGACCAAGTCCAAGCCGACGCTGTATTCATCAGTTCCAATTGGGTTAGGAAACCAACACTAAGATGCACTCGGGCCGATAAATCAGCAAGACCGTTTTGTAAAATGACGTGTCGTCTCCTCACACCCCCCGACGGATATCCCGAGAGTAGATGAGAGTACACATAATAAAACTAAACGGTGGAAAACTTTCACTTAGCTTAATCCAGCCTAAACGTGTGAAGCTACCTGAATCAATAAAAAAAATCTCAAGACCACACGCACCTGTCCACAGATTGCTCACGGCTGTGTTCACATAGGCATAAACCCCACGGCGGGTGACCTGAACCTTTTCGGGCGCTCTTCATCCATTCGGTGAGTTGATCCAGGCAGACCACCTAGGATCAGATCAGGTTAGTTTTCCAATAGCATATGTGCAACCAAGCTTTCCCAAAATTGTTGTGTTCGATTAATCTTTCATATGTCGGTGCATTTCGATGCTCTTGATTAACGTGAAGTTTGGTAAAAAATTTGTATCACTGGGCAGTCATTCTTTTTCATCCAAGAGCTCTTGCAGACCAAGTGAGTAAATGACCGGTCAGGATAAGGTTCAGTTCGGGTATCTCTTTTATGAAGAAGGCACGAAATCAATGTAGAATGTCTTTTCACAGTTTTGTTCCGTTAGGGTGAGTGCCTGTTTTATCACCGATGTATAGGACACTTTGGAAGAGTGCTCTACTACAACGATCCGTGTCATATTTCAGCCTCACAATTCGGTTTCTGAAAAAAAGAAGGAATCCCTAATGAGTGGCATGTGAACCTCTGGTGATGAACAGCTTTTTGACCAATTTAGAGAAACCGTCCTGTCACCAGAGAGAAGCAACAAACTTTTGAGCTGCTTAATGGAGTTAATTTACACAGTTTGCCATTTTTTTGCATTTTTGCGGGTCTCGCATTTATCATCTTTAAGCCGGAATCCTGCACCGGGAGCGCTACGCCTAGCTTTGCCCTAGCCCGTAATCGATTGGGCGGATAATAGGGCCGCTTCCCGGTCCAGCACCAAGGCGAGCTCTGATTGGCCAAAAGTGTGGGCTCAACAGCCAATCACGATCCAAGCTGAATGCTAGTCCAGGTTTACGAATTTACATAGTGTTGTCGCCCCACTCTAAATACGATGGTTTTGGGTGTTTAATACAACTCGTGAACCCTTGTTGTTTCTGTCGAAAACGCTAGTTTGGAATGATCTGACCGAGAACTCAAGCTGAGGCATTGCCGTTATTACACTTTCCCAATCTAAGTCCTAGTTAAATCCAATGTGCACTGGCTAACCGACTATGCTAATCATATTTTTGCCACATGAAAGGGTGACCGTGATATTTATCCACTAGGAAGAAAAGAGCAGAAACTCAAAAAATATAGATTTCCTGCTGTCTTTGGACACAGTTTATACTGAAAAAGCCAAGAAGAATTGTACAGTTGCTTCATCCTTGTTGGGAATCGTCAGCAATGCACACTTCACGAAAGTTAAAGAGGATCTGAATGCATCTCGGCCCTTCATTATATACTGACTTCACTGCTAGAACGAAATTCCTATTGAAAATCCCCGAGATTCCAACGTCACCATCACTCAATAAGTAGCTCAGAGGAAAAATATTTCCACAAGATGAGTGGAACTTTTTGCTGAGAAGCTCTTACCCAAGGAGTCAACCAGTAAGTGACTGTGAGTGGAGGATGAGTGAAGCCATGTTTGGTCTATATCAGAGGTACTCACACTGTCGATCAGGCGCTCGTTGCCTGATGGTCAAGTAATCAGCCACCGACCGGAAGGTTTCAGGTTCGGAACTATCCGAGTTTTATGAAATGCTTACTGCTGGTAATTTCCAATAAGGATGAAACAGTTGTACAGTGCCTTTTGGTCCTTCAGCATAGATTGGCTCCGCTGACAGGACGAGCTCTCACTTCCAGAATTGCCGAATCCCATGACACCACATCAATGAACAATTCAGCTGTAAAGCCCAGCTGCCATGCCAATTGAGGGAAGCACGAGGCTTGAGATACTACAAGTTTTTCCCAAACCTAGACAGGAGCAGTTGACAGGTTGGGTTCAATCCATGGGAACCTGTAGTAACGGTATTTTTCTCAGTTCAGTTCTCGGTCTGAGCTTCCCAAGCTAGCGCTCACGTCAAAACAACCACCAAAGGTGCACAAGGTATAATAACTGTTACGTTTCTGTCACGCAGCGAGCAAACAATATGATAATGCGGATTGTGGCAATACTCTATCCCCAGCTATGTTGCTTGATCCAGACTCCTAGCACGGCGGATAGTAAGAAGACGAAAACCTCGGACACAAACTTTAATAATCCAACAACACACGATCAACAGGCGATGCCCGGAGTTTCCGAACCCAAGTCAGTGGAAAAAATGGTATCCTGTACGTGGTCGGATTTAAATTTCCTTGGAGTATCAATAGGCCATTGATTTTTCATAGTTTGACCTTGAAGATGCCAGGAGTTTCGCTAGCACCATAAAAACACAGCGTTTTCTGGGGGATATTGATATCCCCAACATTAACGCCCAACACGGAGTCAGGAACACATCTACAGCGCTTCATATATGTAGCGTAGGCGGCAGTAACTTTCTGGAAGTTTTGACGCGTTCTGGATGCTCCATTGGCAACCGACATTCGGCCAATACTGGGTCATGATTAGTTGCTGCGTCCAGACTTTCGACCAATCAGATCTCGGCCTGATGCCGGACCGACAAGCGTCCCGAATTTTCGGCCAGTCTTGCGTGGGATGAACTTCTCGGCCGTAGCAGCACCTGAGTGTGAGCGGTCAAGAGGGATCCGTGCGGATTTCCGCCCCACAGTACTGTATTCAGTAATTTTGTGCCTTAGCCACTTCAACATTTCAAGTAAGTCGATGGCTGAGTGTTTGTAGGGATTTCACTGGTAACTGATAAGTGAAATCGACACCGAGTGGTCGGTGATACGTCTGAGGAGACGATTGTGGTAAAATATCCTGGAGGCTAACCATGTAGCGTGCTGTGACTCTCGTGATCGTGCTGGAGACATGAGGAAAGGAATCGCAGTTCAAGCGTTAACCGAATCCACCCAAGTGAAAGCCTCTCGGGCAAGACGTGGCTTGACCTTGCGTGAACATATCTTAATTACTGACGATAGAAAATTGCGGTTACTTCCTGTTTGATAGGAAAATGCACACTGATATCAGTAGATGCATAAAGTCCTTACTCACCGAAAAGTCAGTTCAGAAGCAATCTAGCAATAAAGAGGCAAACAAAGGAAGAAAGAATGGACAGTTTTCTTCCAAAGTATTTGCGACAGCGCCTGTGCAAAGTACCCAGAAATGCGTCATCTGCTTTCGCCTGTTATAATTAGCATTTCGAGACTACAAACCTACTTACTGATTCGTCCATCTCGGATAGATAAGATGAACTGCTCCTTATGAACGCTTTTCACCAACTGGGTGAGTAGTTTATTCTGATACTCCGTTTCTGCAGAAGCTCCGTCTGCTTCGTTGTGCTTTCATTGTAATTTTCTATGGTTGGGTTTGCGCACCAATTAGTTGACAGTTTATCAACCGAATAGCTCTCAGAAAACATTTTTTCTGAATTAGACGACTTGTTTTACCGTCTAATTCAGTTTGACGACTCTACTCCCAAGCACGAAACTGAGCTTTCAGATTAAACTGAATCAATGTAGTAGGAAATTTCTGTTGTTACATCTCGCAGTGAAGTTTTGAGTGCATCTACACTACTCAAAATGCTACTGAAGTGATCTAAGACTTGCTTGGCCTTTGAGATGCAAACTATCACAGACTTGAGTGTACTACATTGGTTAACTTAGTCTTTGGAGCGAATTCTTAGGGGAGAAATTGACTGAGTGAAAGTCAGTCTTATTGATCGAATGGTTCGCTAGGCATGTGCCTTTGAATGTGTTTAATTATCTGACTATAACCTAACCACGTTGCCTCAAATCCTAATCGGACGGAAGCTGTCAAAAGAAAACATGTTATGCTACTAAATGCGAAGACGGTCATCATGTTACCATACTCAATAAGAGTAGCTGCTCTTGGACCAGTCGTACCTACTTAGTACCCATACTGGGGTTTCTACTGACTATCGAATTATGCACAGAAAACAGTTTTGGGAAGCTTTGTATGACATTTTCGGGGTAGATTCACTTGGTGTAGTGCATATGGTTCGTGCTGATCACCTACTCAAACGTAAGTGACCATCAGAGGAAAGGACCGAGACGGGACCACGCGTGAAACTAGAGGGATAGCAGTTTACGGGGTATGGATCGAAGAGGTCAGATTCAAAGTTCATCTGAACATCGATCAATCAGAGGTCGACCCGGCAAACTTACAATCAGAACCAACTATCCGAACGACCAGTCATATTCGGGGGTCTTTGACGATACCCGCCCAACGATGCACTAGTGAAGTGGCTTCGTTGAATAAATCATGCACCAAATACTACCTGAATCCCGGCCTCAAAAAATGATGTTTACTGCAGCTGCCAAAGATATGAGTAATGCGCGAAACTCCGTATCAAACCAGTAGTACGGCTTATACAAACATATTGCGATGAGGCGAATCGATGCTAGACCAAGCTGTCGTGCCCCATTGTGATCCGTTCCAGTCCTGAAAATCAAAGCGATGGTTGGATAAATGAGAGGACTGTTGAAAAGGAACCATTCGATTGGCCGTCATGCTTCCAATATCCCATACTACTGGCACTGTCTTGTGAACAGTCATATCAATGCCGAGTGGTTCGGCGTACGTGAGCACCTGTATTCACACAAATGAGATGCTGGCCTGCATCGAAAGTCCCACACAGGGGGCTGACCCGGGGGAAGATGGACTACCGCTTAGGCTCGCCAAGAAGCCTGCTCCTCGACTTATCTTTACACAACTACCTGAATTGGATAGCCTACCTGTCTGTTTGTTTCTAATTACTGCACTCACGACTGTGGAAGCCTGTGCAGTCCATAAGACAAGAATAAATGGTTTGTGCCCTCACAATGTGGAACCAAGCAATTGGATTTTCAAAGTTGTTGGTCAGGTGGATGTTGATCTGCTCACCGAGTTTCGCGATTGACTTGAACAAGTTCGTCACCATCAATGCGCATCTGGGTGGGTACTTCTTCTCCGCATGAGTGCGTCTATATAGCACGTGGAGATTATGTTACCCTTTCACGTGATCGGCTAAGCGGAATCCGGGAGTTCTCGTGAACATTGCTGTGACGCTATCAGGGGTCCTAAGTAAAGTATCTCCTAATAGTTTCCCTATGGTAGCACCTCTTTTAGCATATAGATAAAATATGGTTTACGAGAGCACTTCGAATAATGTTCCGTCTCCATTTCTCGCGGTCTATTCGGATCAACCATGTGGTTTGATTGGCTCAGTCTCTTCGCACGTATTTGGTCCGCAATTTTGTATCGCATCACTGTCTTCCTTCGTGTTTGGACGAGTGGAAACGGTTATCTTCCACGATCTAGTGAACCTCTCCAATTTAAGGCTGTTTGACAATGCAGAAGTGAGTACGATCAGTACTCAAACGATTTTTACAGGGTACAAAACTTTGCCCTAAGAACCTTGGAGACAGCGACTATCTGGGTTCAAAAGCCCCAGCTGATTCACTCCAGCCAAATACGGAATGAAAGTTTTTGTCAAGTTTGTTTTTGAAACTATTGGAGTAAACCGCAGATATATACGCCGGCCTTGAAAAACGGTGAACCTCGGTTGAAAGGAAGTGGAGCACCCTTGGGTGCGGTGTTGCCAGTTGACCAACCAGAACTAAGCGGTCACACGTTATTTTTGGTATGAAAATAACGATCTCATTTGCACAGTTCTTGAATACTGAACATCCTAAAGTCCCACTCTCAACTCTCCCGGACGTTCTTTGAATTTTAAATGATAATGAACGAACACTGCAAATCAGTTCCATAATTCCCTACCGACCTTCCATCGTGGATGACACTTTGGCCAGACACTGCTGGGATGATTCATGAGTAGTGCACACACACACACACACGAAAGTAAAGTGTCGGCTGATAACAGGGGTTTTCAAATGAGTGTACAGTTAGGTTTCGGATAACCGAGTGTTGGACAGTTAATGCTCGAGTCTGAAGGAAGCTTCTTAGGATTACATACCTTTTGACATCAGTAAGACTTTCATATGGTTCATTCGCTTCCGCTGGAACTGTAAGCGTCGCCATACTACCTCAGGGAGTAGTCAACATTGGATAAAGTGGTCAAGGAAAGTACACTTGTTTTTCGTTAATCTTCCCCCGAATTCCATTAATTTTCTGTTTGCGAGATTGAATTTGACAAGCCTGTTCTAAAATCACACCGTATTCAGTAAGAATGAAGTCGAAAAGATTGTGCACCGTGAGTGACGTTCATTTAGTTTGCTTATTGGTGGATAAAAACACAACTCTAAAAGCAGATTTTTATAATACAACCTGGGTGACCGTCGTCAAGATCAAAGTAATCCCAAGGTCAAGTTTGTTTCAATTAACAATTCGTGTTCACACAGAGGAGAACACTCACTTCGGCGCGTGTAGAATATGGGCGAACCAAGAGACAATGGGTGGAATGTCGGTGAATTGAGTAAAAGGTATGAACCGGCGCCATATGAAGGAACGGACAAGGGCGAGAGCAAGGACCACAGTGAGGCAAGACTCAAAACCATATCCTTCTGGATACAAAGGATTGCTTTTAATATCACACGTTCATTCCGGTGCAAGAATGACTCTTGATTGACGGAAAACAAGTCGGAATGAGATACACTCATTTACAAATCAATTTGGTTTTCACGAGAGACTCAACTGAACTTCTCGTTTATGATATATATGAAAATATCCTGCGAGATCTCGAAAATCGTGCCAACTGAATCATGAAGCGGCCTGTGTGCAGCACATTCTGTTGTAGAATATCATAAACGAGAGATTCAGTTGAGCCTCTCGTGAAAACCAAATTGATTTGCAACTGAGTGTATTTCTCGAAAACGGTCCAATTTTGGTTCAAGTAGAACGTAAGGTTGACGGAAACTCGGGCACTGCACCCACCTGATGAGCCCTAAGAAGGGTGAAACCAGTCGTGGGCTGCCGAAGAGTTTTCAGCAACCTTGTGGGTAGTTCGCTTTATGAAAAGTTGTGTACCAGGGAGTTTGGTGTAGTAATGAAGTACTTTGCACATAGGGCTTTTCGGCTTTGAAAGGCGAACTGAACAGGTGTTCCGCAATGCGGATCGAAGCTTTTTGGGTCCTCAGCTGGGCCAGAGTGGAAGACCTGGAAGGCTACCGACGTTGCTGTAAACCCTGAGCTTCAGTGTCACAGGTGTGCAGAAGGCATGTTCTGTGAAGCCGCATGGCCGCACTACAATCACAGCATCAAGACAGTCTCTCCGCCGTGTTAGAAAAGACGTTGGTTTCAGACACGATAATTTATGCAGCAGGGCTCCGAAGTTATAGGATCGCTCATGACAAGTCTGCAGCAATTAGCGAAATTCACTCGTTTTCAAACAAATCTGGTTTTCCGAGACTCAACTGGAACCCAGCTGAATTTATCGTTTACGATATTTTAGGCGCCTACTTGATGAGCCCCAACAAGGGTAAAACCGGTCGTGGAATGCCAAAGAATTTTCAGTAGCCTTATGAGTAGTGTAATAAACCTCCGGAAAGTTTTAAAATTGCCGTAAACGCTCGTCGTTATGAGGTCATTGATGCAACCGGAAAATCGCACCAGGGCTTTCGGTTACATAGATGAAAATTTCCACAGAATAGACCGACTATTCTATCGTTGGGTCCAAAGAACTGGTACTGAATTCTACGGTTGACATCAAAAACGCGGTTTGTTCTAAGGGAGAACAGGGTTTCGAAAATGTTCAAGTTTCATAGTTCCACGTGAATTTCAACCTAATCTCACATCAATACTTTGGTATTCAAGTAAGGAACAATCTTGATGGAACTTCGGGGACTCGGCCTACTTGATGAGTCCAAAGAAACCAATGGTGAGCTGTCCAGCGTTTCCATCGATACCAAGAGTTGTATTGAATTATCTGGCCACTAATGTATATTCTCTGAAATTCACACAAACTCGGTTGAAAGGGCACTCCACTACAAACAATACAATATGGCATACTAGAGGATGACACCAGCATAATGAACATTTTGGGGGTCATCAAATTTCAACGGTGAATTTCGACCGATTGCTCAAACACAGTTTAGGCTGAGAAGTCGAAATTTCGCCGAACAGTTGTTTTATTCACCATCTAGTGGAATCACCCGGGAGAACCGAGCTTCCAGTCTTCCGGATGGGAGCTTGATCTCATGACTATTCAGAAACCAGGGCTGATTTGACTTTTTGGATAACAAATCATGTTTGCAATGTGTCGGAATATTGGTGAAAAGAAAGAAGGCCTTCGCCGCGGAGTTATTTGTTAGAAAATGCCAACTGAACAGTTACAGACTATTGGACAGGGAAGCAAAACTGTTGCTCAAATCTAAGCAAATGATACAAAGCGACTTCACAAACTCCGCAATAGATCTCACTTTTCAAGAGACGCAAAGCGGAGTTACGAGAAAACATACTACTCGCGTGCCTCCCCCATCAGTAGTGTCACCGTTACATTGGTAGTTCGGGTGGCCGTTGATCGATTCGCCGCGCTTGATCATTAGCTTGCAGAAATTTCGTCACCAATCGATGAGATATCATCAGTGCACAGTTGAATGAGTCCCATAACGGCTAGAAGCCGTTATTGCCGAGAGTACATACTAATTTCATTGGATTCTATCGATGCATCTAGGTTGTTTAGGTACTCTAGGTTCGTGGGACCGATGAAACTGAGTCCTTCAACCAGAACGTTCTGTTCCACTTCTAAGAGAGAGATTCTTCATCCAGGCATCTTTGCCAATATTTCACTTCCAGCGTTTTCCAAGATAAATACTGTTTTCAGCGGTGGAGCTCAGTCTCTGTTTCATAGCAATGCTGAGTTTTGTAGAAGTTTAGGTCTCCTGATGTTCGCTGACCATCCTCTCGCATGTTACAACACGATTGTACGCATCTGTGCGCATCGTTAGTCTAACCATCAACATGGCATTATATCCGTCAGCGGCTTGAGATTTTGGGTGATTCAGCGGTGTTCATTTGGAAGAATACAGGCATTTGTGAAGGAAGTGAAGCTGTTATTGTGTGGAAGTCCGTCTGCAGACGAGTCTCACACTCTCGAGCTGCTTTGCGCGCTCAACCCCCGGAGTTGTCGGCACTGATAATCTCTCCTCGGCTGGTAAGCCAATCGCCCAACCCTGTTAATCGACCAACGACTGTCTGGTAAAGTACAAGTAACAACTATCTCACTTATAACGAGTTTCTGAAGCAATCGTTTCCTAAATTTGTAGGTCTGAGGAAAGGTCACTGTTTAGGTCGCTAAGAAAAGCAATGTACCGCAAAGACCAGACCTGACTAACTGATGGTGTGCGAGGGGGTTACACGTGAACTCCAGGACCGCGACCAACGACTGGTGGATCGTCGCTCGGAAGCCAGGTATCCTACAAAATATCACCTGACTCCAATGACGACATCACGACAAAGGAGTTTCACCCAACAAAAAAGAACACGGACAGTGCCATCATTAACACAAAAGTACAGTAATATGGACGCATGGGCTATTTGAATGCCCCTCCTTTTCGTGTGCGAGGGGGTTACACGTGAACTCCAGGACCGCGACCAACGACTGGTGGATCGTCGCTCGGAAGCCAGGTATCCTACAAAATATCACCTGACTCCAATGACGACATCACGACAAAGGAGTTTCACCCAACAAAAAAGAACACGGACAGTGCCATCATTAACACAAAAATACAGTAATATATATATATATATATATATATATATATATATATATAATACAGTAATATTTGAATGCCCCTCCTTTTCAATGACAGATTTTGTAAGAGAACAGGAACACAGGTGGGAGTGAACAGATTTATCGAGAAGACAAAATAGTTGCGGAGAATAACCGGTCACAACCTAAAGTGTGGGGCGCCCAACAAAGGGGCCAGTTGCGAAGTTCTTACTGAAGAGGCACACCGGACTGACGGTGGGAGGTCGTCAATCGGACAGGTGAATAGACTCCGTCAGTTGGTGGCACAGTTCTGAGGCACGGTGACGTTCACGAGCAGAGACCAGAGCATCTCGTGTGAGGTCTGGTGCAATCTGACCCAAACGACCAAGTACTCGAGCTACCGCAGCTCTAACCGGTTCGCTAGCATCGTCCAAATGAGGCATAACTCCGGCTAGGAAATCCTGGACAATCGCTGAATGTACCGGGTTTAGTGTGCGCCGCTTGGAAGGTTCCGGCTGGACAGGGTTGGAATCACATACCAACATTTCGTGAACAAGCCGGAGCCAAGCATTTAATGTTTCCGTGACTAGCATTCTGACCTGACAAAGAAAATTCGACGGATTCAATAAGCAGAATAGTGGCTCAAAATAGTACGTAACATGAAAGCACAGAAAACAAGTTCCATTTAGGCTGGACGCAGAGGACCTTGGGAATTACGTCATACCGCCTCAGTGGATCAGGTCTGATTCTGTTGAATGAGGTGGACGGGTGTGCAAACTTAGTCTATTGAACAAGTTGCATTCACCTCACACTCGTCTGAACGATTCTGCTGTTCTGGCCTAGATAAGGGAGGATGAGTACTGGATTCGAGCTTTGCTCTTATTAGAGCCAATCAACATAGACCATGCAGGTATCTAAAATCCGGACATCTTAAATGCGAAGCCAGCGCGTTACCAAGACTGCCAACGCACACTGGATGCATCTGACTCATCATGTCCGAACAGGTGAAAGTGTTGACGTTGCGCGACGTGATAGGCTTGCCCGACGCCTCGAACGTCAACTCGGTGGTTGTTTTAAACGGAGATTTTGTCTTTTAAAGAGAGCCACTTATTGACTCGCATGTACCGACTTCCTAGTCAGGTAGCACCACGGACTCTGGAAGGCTGTCGGTGGATTTTGGCTAGTTTCAGGCATTACTTACACAAAATCCGGACAGGAGTTGAACTGATTTACGATCAACCCATGATTCCGTCAACCATGGAGCTCAGCAAGTGCGGATTCCTTGCCAGCTAAGTACTTAAAGAAAAACGCTTATCTGATCCAATCTTTATCGAGTAGATCAGAGAAAAGACCGGAAAATCCGGAAGTCCTGGTGCAAGCGCCCGGCTGATCCAAACATCAACTACACAATAATCAGAAGTATCCACGAAGACGTGTTTTGACGGGCTCATAAAGAGAGAAGAACGAGTGATTTAAAGACCAACACTGAAGCGAGTGACTGCAAAACAGTGTATCCTTCTGTATCAGTTCTATTTTAGGGCTAGGAATTCCGGATGATGAGAACGGAATCTGTTACGGCAGCTACAACCACTGAACAACAAGGACGCGGTTCTTACAGCTAATAATGATGACGATGATGATTAGCTTGTGAAAGGGACGAGATGGCCCAAGTGGTTAGAGCGCGAATTTACTGACCAGAAGGTCCGTGGTTCGAATCCGACCTACGCCTCTCGACTTCCCCTGTCTAGGCTTGGGCAACCTGGCAGTATCCCAGCCCTCGTGCTTCCTTCGGGTGGCATGGCAGCTAGGCACCGGAAGGGGGCTATAGCAGAACGCTGTGAAAGGGTCTGTTTGTGAGGTATCAACCGACCGATGAGAATGAAAATAATAAGGAATAGTCGACAAAGAAACACATACCGGGTCTTTCGCATCATTCAGGCGTCGGACAAGATTGGGGTAGAAGCGGTAGACTTGATCACCAAAGGAGTTTGGAAGTGGACACAAACTGGCCGGTTGTTGATGGTCGTTTCGGTCTTGTATGGCCGTAACGGGAGACAACCAAGATGGTGAAGACAGAAAGCTGGGAATATCATCTCCACGGACCATATCCGAGGTTGGTGGTAGCAACAGACCATTGAATAGTATAGTTAAGTTTAGACAAGCCATCTTTCTGGTTGCTTCCAAGTCGTCTTCGAGTAAACCACCTAATCGCGTTAGCAGCAGAGACAGAACTTGTGCGGGGAGACCTGATAGACTGCTTGTTCGAACAGGTTTGACACCTTCATCTGAAGTCCAGGGAAAGAATGGAGGGGAAGAGAACAATCTTACGTTTAATGTCTAGACGTAACAAACCACACATAAGGTTACTGAAAGTTCCTCGACATTCGATGACCGGTTTCGCCTTTCTTCCGGCTCATCAGGTGGGCTCAGTCTCCGAGTTTCCATCAAAGTTATGTTCTACTCGAATCCAAATTGGACGGATTTATACAAATAATCTCATTTGCACACAATTCTGGCATTTACAGGAGACTCAACTGCATGCAGCTGAATCTTATAGCGGTCACTCTTTAGTTCCTTGCACTTAATCGTTTATCATGGTTCGCCTGATACGACCTAGCGCACCACATTCAGTTAAAGCGGACCATCAAAGACGAGAACTTCAACTGCATTCCAATGGGTCTCTTGTCTAGATCGAGTGAAAGTACTTGTCGAAGCCTTGCGTGATCCTCACTGTGTCTGGTTGGAGACACTACAAGATATGACTGCCAACCGATGTCAATGGCGTTCTTGTTGTCAGTTTCTATGAAGATTGCCTGAGTGAGCGTCTGGAGGTATGGGCACCTCGGAATGATTGTGGTAAGCTAGCACTAAGTCTCTTCCCCGTCCATCTTTACTCTTTTCTTTACAATAAGGTTTCCAAATAAATCATGGTTGTAGGGCAGTGAAGCATCGGTGTTGAACACTGATGTCATGCTGTCGATGATGATGATGACATGTTAATCCCCAAATTTGGCGAGAAAATTAAGCTACTCAATTATCAAGTAGTGTAACTTTTAAACAACAATTGATCATTAGCGAATATACACTCATCTGCAAACTAATTTGGTTTTTCGAGAGACTCACCTCGAACCCAGCTGAATCCCTCGTTTGTGATGTTCTCAGGCAACTGAATGTGCAAGTGAGTGTATATTCGCTAATTTCGTGCAATTCGGTTTCAAGTAGAACACAAGGTTGACGGAAACCTGGGGACTGCGCCTACCTGATGGGCCCCAAACAGTGCGAAACCGGTCGTGGGCTGTCGAAGGATTTTCAGCAACCTCATGAGTAGTACTATACAAAGCAATCGATCATCTTTGTATGTTACGGCGGTTCCAAAGGGCGAAAGGAGGCTGTTGAGGGTGAGGCAGAACGAACTCGTAAAAGTGGAAGTGGGGGGTGGTGACCAATTCGAGTGAATTTTCGGTTTACCAAACCTCCGAGTCCAAATGTCACCCAGACTCAGTCCAAAAAGTAATTAGATTTTGAAATGCGAGGTCTAATTACATCGAACATGAGCTGGGCGGATAAGTCCACTCTGAAGTTTACTTGCGCAAGTTTCATGGATATCTCCTTGGCAGCCAAGTACAATGAGCAGGAAGTCCTTCCCCAGGTGTGTTTTTAGCCTTTCCATGTGTCCCAATTTCCAATATCACAACCTTGATAACCGTGAATCATGCAGGGAACGGGTCGCGTGCGAAGTCGCTTCATGCAGTGGACCGGTGGGTCGTAGTTCTTTAGTGAGTGCAAACAAACCGGTAGGGTCTAACGTCGTTAGCCTAGGTATCAGACGATGCCCACCTGACAACGGATGTTTTCGTGTCCCCTCCATGATCCCTGTAGGAAGTTTTGGTTTGCTGAGCAGATAACAACGTTGGTTTGCCCCAAGTTGACTTTGACAAGACCATTGTGATTGGACAGCCTCGCATCAAACGGAAAGTAGTGAACAACAGCTGCCAAAGTGTGTGGTGCCTTGGAACCACATCATCATGTTGAGCTAAGAATCTTGTTCAAAAGTTCGCGTCAGAACTTTCAGTCCCAGGAGAAATTAGCTGACCACTGTCGGGATAAATCAAGCTTTCGGTTAAAGCGTTTCCGTTATCCAACTTAGAGGGCGATGTCTCGGTTCTAGTCAACGCGTTCACTTCTTAGTATCGACAGACTCCACATCTTGAAAGCGACTGTCATCCATCCACCCACGGCAATAGACATTTTTGTTTACAGTTATTTTCCTGATTTGGGCCACTACAATTAAAGGTGTTGTGCCTTTCCGGGATAAGGCGAACCTCTGTGTCTGGTAAGGAAAACAGTTGTGCAGTATTGAGATGTCCTTTGTTTGGAAGGACCTCCACTGGGATATTTTACAGCACGGACGTTTTTTACAACAGTCTTCATATCCGCCCATCTATAAAAAGGGAGAATGAGGGTGTTACGTATACGAACTGAAAACCTCTACAGCTGTTCCGTCCCGATAAAATGCCATGTTACTTAGTCAACATACCTCTCGAAGGAGCTCTGTCTACTTGGAGGGCTTTTGGACCCAGCAAGCGTTTCACCGATTCTATGTGGTCAGCAAGCCACAAATCCAAGCGGACTTCTTCCGCTGTCCGGCTGTCTGTCTCGGTTTCCTCAACATCGTAGGTACTTGTGGCCGCAGCGAGCAGAGCGACCAGGCAGGTCACAGCTGCCTTACGCATGGCTTCTGCTGTTCGACCAGCTCTCCAAACACATGCCGGTAGGACAAGTTGGGTGAGACAACGGTTCAAGTAGGTTGGTGATGCGAGCACGGTCTGGGAGAAAACGGGGAAAAAAGACTTTCTGATCAGCGCAGGTTCACTGGAACAGTGCTGTCCTAAATAATTGACACACACAGCATTCCAAAGGTGTAATTAATAGATGTCTCTAAATTATGAGTTGTTGTGGTGCTGGTGACGCAGTCAATAAGCTACTCGTAATAATGGATAAAATATATCAATCGTTCAGCTGTAGCACCCTTTCGATGCCTAACCGCCATGTCACCCGAAGGCTGGGATACTGTCAGGTTGCCAAAGCCTAGACAGGGGAAGTCGAGGGGTCGGGTTCGAACCATGAACCTTCCGGTCAGCAAATTCGCGCTCTAACCACTGAGCTATCTCGCCCCCTGAGTATGGGTGATCGCTTCCAGAACATCATATAGTCCAGGTTTTCTAAACGAACAACCAGGAGAGCTTCGTGTAGGGCAGTACCTCCGAGAACGTCAAGTGGATCAGACAGCTTTTTATCACTCATGGTTGGTTGGATGAGTGTTTGTGGATTTACTCAGATTGGCTGCAAACTCGGTCATCTATAAGTAGCTAAGGAGATTGTCTGAATGTAACACACTACTCATAAGCTCACTGAAAACTTTTCGACAGCGGTTTTCCACAACTCACAGTAACCACAGAATGAAGCAGTTGAAATCGGATCATCAGGTACGACAATACACGGAGAATGTGGTCAACCCTAGGTCAACTGAAAGGCTTTTTTCTAGTTGAATTTTAGCCGGATGGATGTGGTCGGATCGACTTCGTCACTGTACCAGTTTCGGCCTAAAGTAATCATAAACAAAGCTCAGATCACATTTGCAGTGGGATAAAAAAATAGCCGGACAAAACCCACGTCCTGGAATCAGACAACTGATATTGCATGCAAACTATAAAAAACCTGGGTATGGGGCAATGCCTTTTCCACCTCATATCAGTTCGGAAATCTCGCCACTCCATGCCTTTTTCCAACGCACCTCAGAGTGACACTGACAGGAATACCGCTTCATTAAATACGAAGCACTTACACCTTGACTGGAGGCCTAATTATGTTAATGAATGGGCAAATTATCACAACATATAAGTTACTAAGACTTTGATAAGACATATTGGAACATCAGTAGCTCGGGCGCATTTACAGGTTTTTGAGCAGGCGGCTGTTGATCTGTTTGATAACCTTGGCAGTTGACTTTCAAGTGCTTGCGAGCCACAAATTATCAATATAAGTTACTAAGACTTTGATAAGACATATTGGAACATCAGTAGCTCGGGCGCATTTACAGGTTTTTGAGCAGGCGGCCGGCTACTTTCAAGTGCTTGCGAGCCAACTACCAAACTCAGTGAACAGATCAACAAACATCCGGTCAACAACCTTCAAGACGGGCACGAAGATCCACACATTGAATACTTCATGCTGCCATTCGTTGCCGTGGCTGGATAGCAACGTCAGATAATTTAGCAGCACGTGGTGCTTCACGCCATTCGCATAATCAAGAGCCGGCCCTGCTCCATCTTTCGAAGATGTTGGATTGGATCACCTGCAGTCAAGATACGCATTAACACAATGAGCGTACAAAACTGAGATGGTATGTTCCCTCAAACGGCAGTGCAAAGGACTCGGCCAGATGGCTTAAAAAGCTGTGGAGGCTAAGGGTCAGAAAACATTATCGTAATTTTTCTTGACGTGACGGGACCGTGAGGTGATCCCATGATGGCTGTTGCCATTACTTACTTTTTGGAGTGTTTTTAAACTAGCCGCTCAAAATAGTATTGTGAATTTTCTGCACTGAATTCTAGTGACATTTTTCACATGCAGGCCAAAATCAATCGAAATTCTAACCAGGAGTGGAGCAATTGTGAAAAACATGGGCGATACTATTGTCCTGTCGCTGCGTGCGGCGTGCATTGGTTTCAAAGGGTTCACAGAACTTCAAACTGTGCAAGCTACTGTCACACACGTGAGTAGTCAGAGGTTAAACTTGAAATAAATATGAACGGAGTTATTTTAGCCAAAACCAGATGC